AGTTATTCCTCAACCATTTCTTTTCTTTTTCATAGAGAGGTTTTTGCTATAGGGCGTGCGTGCTTACTGGAGAGACAGAGAAAAACAGACAGAAAGGGAGAAATCCCTCCCCCCTTCCTGCAGAGGGGATGGCCATGCCACAATCCCATCTCCTCCGTTCTCCTTTTGGGATTCTTGGCACTCTCACATAAGCACCCCGTGTGTGTTTTAAGCTGCCGGGTCCAGGACTCAAACTGTGGTTAACTATGTGAGAGACCAGTGACATAACCACTATGCCATCTGCTGATTCCTTTTTCATTTTCTTTCTTTCTTTCTTTTTCTCTCTCTCTCTCTCTCTTTCTTTTTGGTGCTCCTCAGCCAATATGCTGATCATTTCTATACGTCTGGTCCTAATGCTAGTGGCATCAGTTTTACCACTTGCTTCTTTGCTTTATGACTAATCTTGCAATCACATCATGAATAACTTTTTTACTGGCAGACTCTTAAACTCCCTGGGTTTCAATTTCTTTGTCTATAAAACTAGTGGGTTGACTGGATGGATTGTGAGCTCAGAATGGACTTTGGATTAGCTTTGTTTTTTTCCCCAGGCTTATATTTCAAACCTGTCATTTCCTATTCTATCAGTTACAACCTAAATATTAGAAAGTGGTATCAGATTTTATTGTTTTGTGCTTATTATTTTGTGGTACTTGTACAGACCACATAAGATTGCCCAAGAAGTGAATTAAGTGGTAAGACATTCATGAGTCTGGAGGATGGAGTGGGGAAGTAAGGGGTTACTTTAGATATTAATAGGACATATTGTGGTACTGTATAATGGGAAATCTGTTTATGTTTCTTTTAGTTCAGATGCCGAGGAGAAAATGACTTTACTAGCCAGAGATTTTTTTAAAAAGCCCTTATGGGACCAGCAAGGTGGCATGGTGGTTAAGAGTGTTGGACTCTCACATGGCGTGCTATGGTTCAAGTTCTGGACCTGGCAGCTTATTCTCTCTCTCTCTCTCTCTCTCTCACTCACTCACTCACTCACTCTCACTCAATGTGTTCCTCTTTGGTCAAATTAAAATAAAAAAATAAATAATGTATATAAAATAATTCTTAAGGAAAAAAAGTTCTTCCAGGGTCAGCAGATGGCATAGTGGTTACCCTGCTGGACTTCTACATAGGGCTAACTGCGGTTTGAGTGCCAGACAAAGTGGCATAACAATCACTCCAGTGTGTATGTGCCCAAAATCACAGGAGTAGAGTGGAGGAAAAGGTATTGCAGCATGACCTTCCCCATTGGGGGGTGATTTCTCACTGTCTCTGTTTCTCTCTCTACAGTGAGTACATGTGCCCTATGGCAAAAACCTCTAAAAAAATGTCTACCAACTGCTCTGATGTATAGTATGCTGATTGTGGGAGAATATGCAACTTCTAAAAGAAAAACAAGTTTTGAGTGCTTATGTCAGAGACATTTCTCAAACACTCAAGTTTTTCTGTGAAAAAAAAAGGGTCTTACTGATCCAATTAAGTTTAGTAAATTATGGGAACTACACATCGCTAGTGGAGGTTTTCATCATATGTATGTGAAAGGTTTGAGAATTCTGGAAGTAAAGAAACTACCTAAATTTGTCTGAAATCTCAAATATCCCAAAATATGCACCTTGGAAAATTTTGGATTAGAATTACAATTTTTTTTTTTTGGGGGGGAGAGATTTTCGCTATAGGGCATGTGCACTCGCCAGACAGAGAGAGACATAGAGACAGAAAGTGAGAAATCTCCCCCCAGGGGGGATGTTCACGCTGCAAGCCCTTCGCCTCCATTCTCCTCTTGGGATCTTGGGCACGCACTCACCCGCGCCTGGCGTGAGTGTTAAGCTACCGGGTCGGGACGCTAACCGCGGGCGACTACGTGGGAGTCCAGCGACATAGCCATTATGCTAACTGCTGGTTCCCAGAATTATAATTTTTTAACACCTCAAAAATACAGATAAAGCTAATAGTATATGATAAATACAGTATCTAGAGAGTTCATCTTTGGTAAGTATGTAAGCAAAGTCTAAGGGCATATCTTGAGGAATAGGTTAAGTGACTAATTAAAATTCAACAGAAGGTTCCCATAGATTCTGAAAGATCTCAGCCAGAATTTTAAAATTTTTTCCAAAAGGAGGACACACCCTCTGAAGTATCGGAATCATTGCTTCTACAATTAGTGTCAAAATTGCCTGGGACCTTGTCCCTATTGCCGGTTCTGAATTTCATGTGTTGGGGGTCAGGATCAATATTTTTGGCAAATTCTCTATTTGATCCTAGTTCACAGTTAAATTTGAAAAACATTGGTCTAGACAAGAGTGCAGGGCAACTAGATTGATAAATAACCAAGAAATCTGCTAAAGCCACTTGCAAACAACTGAAAGAAAGTTTAAAGTAGTGGCTACATGTTTAGGTTAGCTTAAAATGTTGTTTTCACTTAGAATGTAGCTGAACTAGTACACTGTTTGGAAGGATGTGCTAATGATGTTGAGTGAGATGGTAAAGAAAGATCATTAGCACCATGTGTCATTAGCATGGACCCAGCCTGGATTCGCAAACATTGATTATAGTCAGACACACTTGAGTGGAGCTTGTTAACTTACAGACAGGGACAGAATTAGAAAAATCATGGTTTTTTTCTTTCTATAAAGAAATAATACTCCCGAGAGGAGAATGGAGGAGAAGGGATTGTGGTGTGGCCATCCCCCTGGGGGATGATTTCTCACTTACTGTCTCTCTTTCTCTCTCTGTCTTTCTGATGAGTGCAAGCGCCCTATAGCAAAAACCTCTCCAAAAAAGAAAAAAAAGAGAAAGAATTCTGATTATTTCATATTTATAAGGTTAATACAGATTATAAAGAGCGTACAGAGATTATGGGCGAGAGTATACAAACCAAAATTTTAAATCTTTAACCTTACCCCTATTTTCTCCATATATTTCACTTGGATACAACACACACACACACACACACACACACACACACTCCTTTGGAAAAGTCTTAGGGTGATAAAGCAAAATGACTTTTCTTGCTAGAAACACTTGACATTGGTCAGGTCTGGGATGAGCTTTTATGTCCTGTCTTATGGAAACTTCAATGTCTAACAGAAGGGACATGTGTAAGATGTTATGGTTAGAGAAGGAAAATAATTGCTCTGCAACACAAACTTTATTATGTTTCTCAGTGTTCCCAAATACTAGACTGATTCCAACCTTACACTTTGGAACTCGAAGATTTTTAAAGGTATTATCTGGATTATTTTATCTTGGTCAGGTCAAGTGTGCTATTTGGATGTGTCTTTTAGCCCTTCTTCTCCAGTATAGACATACTTTGGGGTTTACATATAATCTATTAGGGTTTGAAGACAGTTCTGACTGCAGTGCCTGTGATCTTTGTCCATACCACACTGCCTTCCAGAAATGAATTAAGATGTAGTCATTGCCCTTGGTAGATTCTCTATCAAGCATCAGAGGCAGGTATATAAATGACTGCAGAAAATTACCAGGAGAGCTAAGGAATATGAGGCAAACTACCTGGACATGTTAGGGAAATGGTCACATAGGAGGTGCTATTTATAGTGAATGTCTCAGAGAAATTCACTAGGGAAAACAGGCGGAGGAACTTTCCAATGTGCAACAACGTGCTTCTTCTTGTCATTTAAAAATTAACATTGTCATCCTTCTTTTACAGGCCTTGCTGGTGTTACCAATCTCCCATGGGCTCCGAAATTTTTCCTATGCCTGTTCTTTCACTTCTGCATAACAGTTTATAATCTGCTTTTCTCTATATATACCTAGAGCTCCTTGACTAAAAGGCCATGCAGTGCCTCAGAAACACTAGGCATTAGTAAATATTCATTGAAGGCTGGCAGGTGGCGTGGTGGTTAAGGTCTTAGACTCCCACATGGGTGACCATGGTTTTAGTTCCAGACCTGGGGGCTTGCATTCTCACTTTCCCTCTTTCTCTGTTCAAATTTTAAACATGATGATGATGAATAAAATTAAATAAAATAATTCTTGAAAATACATATTCATTGAACTAATGAATTAACGAGAGCACAAATACTTTCTAGAATCACCAACACTACAGTTCATACATTTATGATGAGTTGGGCTTAATATTGTAATAATATTTTATATATCAATGAAACATACTATGAATTGATGTAATTGACAGTCATTTTCTAGACAGACCTATCCTTTTTAATTTTGTTTAAATGTAGACTTCATTAATTTTTCTTTCAACGATTTTCCGATTTATTCTTTCATACTTACAACATATTTATTGAGCTCTTAGAATATGTCATTTGCTGTCCTGCAAATAGTCATAGAATCATGTCCAAATACACAATCTCTGCTCTTAAGATAAAAGATCTGGTATGGGAGATACACATCAGCCAAATAACCACAAAAATTAATGTATGATTTCAAGTGTTGATAAATGCTGTGAAGGGAAGATATGTGGTACAATAAAAACACAAAACTGTTAAGACTTTGTCTAGGACTGAGCTAAGAAAATATCATTTAAGTTATGATCTAAATGATGAATAGGAAAATAGGATGTGCATAGGCCCCATGGGGAGGTAGCATCATACTCAACGAACTGAAAGAAAAGATCAGCTACCAGGAAGTGACGGTAATAGGGGCAGAGTGTTCAGGAAGGGGATATTGAGGGTTAGGATAATGTGAGGTGAAGCTTGGAGGATTCAGGTTAGACCATTAGGGACTTGGAGAACATGTCAAGAACAATGGGAAATAAGCCATTGGGACAGAGGGGAGGTAGATAGGTGATGTATTGATATGTTCACATGAGCTCTATTGAGAAGGAACTAGGGACAAATACAAGAGAATATGTGGGATGATCCTGAAGGAGCCCGGTATAATCATCCAAATATTAGATATGGCTTTTAGTAAAGGTTAGAATTAATTCATGCCCCATTTTAGGAATAATGTAAAAGAAAGTCATATATTAGAACATAGCTACTTGCCTAATCCTTTTAGGATTTTCCTTTCCAATTTTTGCTCTTTATTGCCCATAGGCTCTTTGACTGTGGATGGCTCTCCAGAAGCAATGGGTTCTCTTTCAGTCTCTTCATTGGTGTCTTCACATTCCCCATCCTCATTGTCAGGTGATTCTGTATTCTCAGGCCTCTCCTTTGCTTTTGCAGGGCCCTCTTTC